TCTATGGATGCTGGGTGGCTCAGAATATATAGGCACGGTATCTTTGATAATAGTATTGGCTGCAAAACAGGAGAAAATGACACTAATCATGCAGTACTATTAGTGGGATACGGATCGAAAGGAGGTGTGGACTACTGGATAGCCAAAAACTCCTGGGGCGCAACCTGGGGTGAGGAAGGATTCTTTAGATTGAAGAAGGGGGAAAACGCATGTGGTATAAAGAACTACGCTGCAGCTCCAATATTTTAAGTTTGGTATGGAGATATTTGAAGCTCAGTAAAATATCTAATCTAGGTACCCCAATTTCACACATTCGGATCTTTATTAAGCAACGAACTGCTACTGGAAATCGGATTTTCTCGAATTAGTTTTGAACGAAGTACACGAGCGTATCCATGTAAAATACTTAACTCATTCAGCTCGCCACCACCACCTAGTAATGGCCTAAAAATGATATTTTTGGAAAGCTTCAGCTTGTTTGATTTTATGAAATGAGTCGCTTTGGAGTGAAACAGTCTGGTTTCAATACCATTCCTACCGATTTCCACTTCAACCATTTCCCAAAACAAAAATCTAAAACTGATCTGTTATTAGAATATCCATATTCATAAAATGGCAGAAGCGGTAGACTGGTGCCAAATTAATAGAACTAGACAGAAACAGAGAGAGTGTTTCTCTCAGAAACGATCCATTTTATCGATATCACGCAAGAGTATATTTTTTTGCTTAAATATCGTGCTTGTCGTTGATGTATGGTACAGGGCGTAAAAAATAGGAATATCGCATAGATGCTAGTGCGCAGTTTATGATTTAAATGAGCTAATTTTTTGCCATGGCAACCATTATGAGATCCACCATCAGTTTTACATTTTTATTGAATAATAGTGTCGTTCAAAGGTTATTTGAGAGAAAACAATTTGCAGTAGCGTCCGTTCTGCATTTCAGTAGGGGAGTCCTGTAGGACATTTTCATTTATTCTATATGTATGCGAGGGATTAACATGTTTTTCTAAGACGCTGTGTATATAGGGTGTTTCCTAAGCTTGGGGGAAAATTCAGGTGGTGATTCTTGGGATTATTCTAGGGCAATTCTAGAACTTTATCCTTGGACGAGCTCCATTAAAAAACCGCTTTATCTTCAAAAATTGATATTTCCAACTTGAGTATGAGTCTAATCTCCTCCTAAACTGCTAAGAGTTATTTCTTCATTATGGTTGTTAGTAAGGTTCTAACCTAAACATATGAAGAGGTATACATGTTACAGTGTCTGAAATATATACATGAGGCTAGATTGTTTTTATGAATTACCTATGACCTAATCTTATCTTTTTTCCGATCACAACCTGAAGACCGAATGGTAAACCATCTTGAAATTTGTAGTAATATTCTGATTCTTCGAGATTATTGTAAATCAGTTTTTTGTTTTTTATAAAAATGAAAATCTCAATCATTTTCAGAAATTCTCACTTCATACAAATGCCTTAAAAATATAATTATGATTGAAGAATTGTGGATGATATGGAAAAGTTACACGCATAACGAAATTTTATTGACACGTAATAAGAAAAAAAGTAATAATGTGTTGGGCGACCCCACAGCTGAATACGCTGCTGTATACGTCTAGGCATCGACAAAATGAAATGATCGATGTCTGGTTGTGGCACCTCACTCCAAGCAACTCGAAGCTGCGGCAGAGTCTGTGGCGGATGGTGCAAAGTAAAAACATTAACACCTGCTTCTTAAAGAAAATCACGACGAGCAAAACCATTACCCCAACAGTCTTGTGTACAACAAAGATAAAACGTTGACATTGTTGCAACAGCATGCATTAAATACAGTCATTATGTTGCCAAAAAACAAGTTGGAGAAATTATTTTTTCTGTGTAACACTTCTAATGTCACTGAGTATATTATGTTACATTAGTAAGTCCAATATCATTTACGCTTGTAAAGGAAGTAAAATCGCCTCAAACAAATGTTTCATAGTATGTTATATGAAACTTTATTGTGTATTTCATTCATTTTAGTGAATCAAATCAGTAAACTATGCCTTCACAAGTACTGATATGATAGAATCTCTATTTCCATTGTTAGATTATCCATTGTAGTTTTCTGATTTGTCACTGTTTGAGTTCTCGATAATGATCAGTTGATCAAATAAAAGAAGTAATCAATGACAGTATGTGTGTCAGCAAATTATGTTGTTCGTTTTCGTAATACGCATATATCAAACTAGAAATCTCACGAGCATATTATACAAACAAGATGCACTGTGGCAATAGCCCGGGATCCCACACATCATAGTCATGTTAATGGAAACAGGCAGGCAGGTTATACATACAACTTAGGTCATTCGAAGAAAATGACCAGTATGTAGTACTTCTATTGGCATAGTAAGTGTCTCAACAGGAATTTTGATTTTTAATGTAATCAAGAACTTTGGAAATATGTCATGCTTGTTTATTCTACCAAAATGAAGAGTTATGTATTATCAGTAATATTCTCCAAATCCCTTCAATTGTGTCTACAGATGAACATTCTTAGACTAAAATTTTCAGTAACTTTTTGTCACAATATTTCAAGGTCACCAATAACTTGTAAAATGTCTTGTCATTTCCGGGTGATTAAAATAGATTTTATTCTCAAGAATTCCCATAAAAATGTCACTGTGCGCTATTTACAAAGGGTACTATTAAAGTTTTGGGCTACAGCTTTATTGACTTCGTTCAAAGTAATTTCCACCACATTCAATACACTCCTCCACCCGCCAAAACCGGTCCTTAAACCAGCTCCGGCAAGTTTCACCAGGGAGTGCGGCACACTCGTTGTCCCAAGCCCTCAGAAGGTCCTCATCGCTGGAAAACCGTTTTCCTGTTAGCCTAATTTTCACTTGCGGAAACAGTGCAAAGTCGCAGCGAGCAAGATCTGGACTGTAAGGAGGGTGCTCAATAAGTTTCAGTCCAGTAGTGGTCAAATACCAAGTGTCCATCCTTGTCTTTGCCCGCAGGTTTTCCATAGCTGTGCTGTGACTGTATTCTATGTGTACAGAACGACACAATCTCCACAATCCCGCCAGATTTGAAAAATATAGCTATCATTTTTTTCTTAACAGATCGGGATTTTCTGACAGCTGCGGGTGTGACCTCATCATCAAAAAACCAAACTTTGTTTTGAGCCTTGGTCGGCATATCGTAATAATAGAATGCAACATTTTCAGCATCTTTCTTTCTAAGAGTCTTCTGCTCTTCCGTCAGACTATGCGGTACCCAGAGAGAACAAAGTTTCCTTACGTGTAAATGGTCATGCAAAATTGAATGAATTGCAGGTGCATGATGACTCTCCGGTCTTCGTCAAGCATTTTCCTTAAAGCAGTAATGTTTTCCTCTGTTACTGACGTTCGCGGCCTTTCTTCTCTCTCAGCGTCCTCCAGAGTGAAATTGCCACTTTGGTATTTTCTGTACCACCTGAATATAGTCGTACGATGAGGACAATCATTCTTTAATGCAAGCGTCATTTCTTCTAGGCACTGGTCTATGCTTAAACCACGCGTAAAGTTGTACCGTAAAACTGCCCTTATCTCACTACGTGACCACGATGCCATAGTCCGCACTTTACACTGTCAATACGAATGAACAACTAAGTCAACAGACGTGCTGGCGGCTACTATGGACTCATGGACATATCTCAATATGCAGTAACATGCAGCCTCCTGCGTCCGTTTGTAGTCATATTGCAAAACTTTTGTATTACCCTTTGTATCGTAGAAAATCCAAGAGTTGTCCAATACTTAATCGTAACGGAGCCCTCGAGGGTTGACGATAAATCCAGGCATAAAATATATTCCACTTTGATGCATTCAGAGAAGTTTGACATTCAAAACTATGTACATATACTCGTAGCGTATTAGAAGTGGAGTGATCTTGATTTAAACCCTGTTCCACTCTGGATGAACTTTTTAAGTTTTTAATGACAAAATTTTCTTAAGAGATGACTCCATGTACCTATAACTGAATACCTTATTCAAAATGCAATAGATGTTTAAAAAACGCGGAGAAGGTATCAGTTTCTTCTGTAGTGGCCAAAATTTCCAAATTTCTACTCCACTGGTGTAGTCTCTGGAATGAAAATTTACGTACTAAATTTTAATTCAATATCTTGATACAGCCCTAATATATACATATCTATATTTTTTTTTCGATTTCGATATTATAATTTCAACACTCTATATGTTGCATAGAGGGCGTTTTGGAACCCATGAACATTTCATATTATTTTTTATCTAATTTATTCCCTAGAAATATTGTCATTATTTTCTGAGTCACCCTGTTTTGCTTATTTTTTTTAATTTAAATCAATAAACTTTGTTTAAGCTTTTAACAATGCAATCGAAAAGGGTTCACGAAAATTCATTCAGTGGAACTGGGTTCCGTGGTTTTAATATTTTTATGTCTTACGACGCTCCACTATAGGGGATCCCATCCTAACAGCGTTATTCATGTTTCTTCCTTAATCGGTCTCCTTAGTGGCGAAGACATTTACAGCACCCTGCATACCGGTAATGCGTCCAATGATAGGATTTTTTGCGGTACTTTTGATTGCGCTTTCTGCTGTAGAAATATAGCCGATGCTTCTTGAATAAGGCTGTACATTTCCCATACTTCAAACTTGTAGTTCAGAGTTGGTGTATCCGATTGTTCGGTGACACTTGCTTAACAGACAGTCCCAGAGCTTATTTCATATTCCCTATGCGGTCAGTGATTTAACTTGTTTTTACTTATATGTTGTATGTCTGCTATACAAACACTTCAAGCTTCTGTTTCTCAATCTAAGGGTTGAGCTCTGTATGTCAAGAACTGGTTGGTACAACCAGTCAATTTTATTGGAAGTTCAGAACTCGGATCAACAAGAAATATTTTTTATGTCGGTCTCAGTACTAAATTATTTAAGATCTGTCCTCGCATTGGTTTGGAATAAAAAAACTACAAGAGATCCAACGTACGAGGGGAGACAGGTACGTATGTACATTAAAAAATAAGATAGGTTAAAGATTTGTGGTATTGTCCGGACTTTTTCCTTTATTGCATTCACTGAAAAATTTAAATGTCCTGGCCTTGTTCCCAAAAATGGATAAATAAGCACTTGCTTCACTTATAGGAAAGAGTTCCTTAGAACAATTGCGTTGTTTGAGACACGACATATTGGAGCCAAATCTCAAGTGGTATGTTCTTCTGAAACACCTATTCCGGGGTCAACACGCGGAACACTTCAATCGTTCTCAATTTGCTTATCTATCCTCAGATTTCGCTTCGTATGGGTATAAAAGGGAGACATTCGCATATTGCTTCATTCATTGTGTTTCTTCTTAAGGTGAGAGTTATATTTGTTTATATGATAAGTTTTCTTTATTTTCAAATTTTTTTAATTTTGAGGTTTTATTTATTGTATGAATGACATATAGTACAATCATTTGGTGGTGTAAAATTTACGGCAAGTTTTGGAAAGTTGATATCCTTATAGATTTCGATCTGCTATTTTAGAATTTTCAACTACCTCATCTCTTTTCCGCTAGAACCGCCGCTATATTGAAAAAATGACTACAAAAAACAATTTTCTTAGAATATCGGCCTTGAAATTTTTAAACTATAGAAAAATACCTACAATTTGTGTATTCACATTTTCTTATAAATTCAATAGTTTCTGCGCCGATCTAACCTATTTTTCACGAGTATCCATTACGTTTCGACGTCTACTGAGATACACAGCTGATCAGCAAGTGGGATATTTGTATTGAAGTCTGTAATGTTGACAAACACGAATCAGATATGATTTGGGTAAAACTCAGCACCGTATTCAGAACTGGTTATACCAAACACATTCATTTTGTTCAGATATCTAGATACTTTCAACGAGTGATAATTTTTACAATAAATATTCTAAATACACATAGACAAATGTATATTAGAAAATTGTTATAGTACATCTGGGATTCATTGACTGCGAGGTAAGTCATTAGAAAAGACTGAATTGTCCTTTCCAGAAGCTGTAATTTTTTCTGTAAAAAATTATAGACACGCGTTTCTGGATTTCATGACATCCTGCAATAGGTGTACATATTTCACTTGCATTTTTTTACATCATCTGAAAAAACTACTAAACTTATTAGGAAGCACAAGAAAACACATAAAATACAACTACAGAGACAGTAGACAGCTGGCACCTCGCGTTGACGGATACGTCAGCGATTGTGATCACCTGTGTCGATATGGGGAATTTCGAAATATTAGTAGATTATCATATATTATTTGCTGTCGCGTTTTCGTGATGGGTAGACGTGTGATAGTTTACGGGCGCCGTTAAGTGAAAATGCACATAGACGACAGCGCTCATTTTAAATTTCTTATTAGTACTTTATAAATATAGAGTATACATTTACTGTCTCTCAAAATCGCTTTTTACTGAACAAGTAAACATCAAAACGTATGTTATATCAACCTTCCTCTTTTGGAAGGTTCTATCTAAATGTGTAATAAAATATGCGACACTCCGCTTAAACAGTAAGAGAAGATTTATGTAACAAAAACGCTCAAGTTTTTGAAAGATACTGATTATTATAAACTACTCATACAGCGCTACAAAACCGAGGTATTATATCTTCCAATGTGGCGAGCTAACGCCATCATCAATTCTCCAACTGTCAGCTTTACGCATTAATTTCATCACACCGAATTTCTACTTGTCAACTTGACCCTTTCGAAAATAAATAGAGGATGGGATCCTTTTGAAAGTTACTGTATAAAATATAATATGCACAAGTTACGGTATTACATTTTGAACAAAGTTGAATGTATAAATAACAATAACAAGTGTATGTATGCAGTAGTGAGTCAATAAGACTCAATACTCTAAGCAAACAATAAACAAGCTACAATTACGAACTGTAATAACCGACTCTGTAGTCGTAGGTTTAACGTTTTTATTTTACGCAAACATTATGTGGTTAGCATATAGCAATGCATTTTCTAGAAATATGAAGTCTTTGTTTGTTGTCGCTGTCCTGATCCTGGTAGCTGATGCCTCTCTCAAGGAAGAATGGCAACAGTTTAAGGTTAGTACAATAATGTAAACATTTTTGACATTAATCAATAAATAAACATATTCACCTCTTGCACTTTTTGTCTATGTCGGTTTCTTTTGGAAAAAATATGAAAGCTAAAGTTTAAATGAAAAGTTATCGTAGAGGTAGTCGTGTCGAACATCGAGCTTTTCTCGAAAAATAAGCGTAAAGAAAAGTTCAGGGACGTAAAAAGTGTTTTGCCTCGTTTGATTAAACTACTGTAACAAATTCATGTACGACCAGTGGTTACAGTTTAAAATCCATCCCCACCGTCCGGGAGAGTATATAGTTTATTCACTGAATCACAGTAGTTACGTCACAACGTCTGATAATGACAGTGACGCACATGGTTGCCACATTAATTAAAACTACTAGATCAGACGTTTTACAAATTCTACTTTGTCTTCGATGCCTTACCGCAACCAATATTACGGAGCGTATGTTTTGTAAACGCTAGAGTTAGTACAAATTCTATTTACTACCTAATACCTCTCTTACAGATTGCAAAGGCAATAGTGAAGCTCCATGATCTTGTTCGGTCTCAAAATATTTCGTCAAAGAAATGACGAAATCTTTCGCTTGTCGACCCAGAGGTTTCGGCAAAATGCTTAAAAGGACTCCTCAAAGTTTTGAAAAAGAAACTTTTTATAAAATAATAATGCAAATATTGAGGCAAAAAGAACGAAAATAAACCACAAACAAACATCAGCCGTTGGCGTAATTACCTAACAAGCTTTGCGACAATGTCATAGCACAGAAAACTGTTACCAGCATAAATGTACCCGGGAATTCAAACTATACGTACCAATTTAGAATCTATTTTGCAATAAGGTTGGAATTCAAATTTACTAAATATGGCGTAAGTGCTTTGTTTGAGTGAATGAACTATATGTATACAAGTTGGAATAACTTAATTCCGTTTAGATTGCAAATTGAAATAACAATATTATGAAATCATGTCGAAGTATATAAATGACATATATACAAATACCTCAGTGATAACAACATAAACATCCTAAAAATCGCTAACCTTCGAGGTGACCGTGATCCGATGGGACAACGAATAGGAAAAAATCGTGACCCCATTTTTTATTCTACATGAAAGTACCTTTTTAAATGGTATATGGTTTATTACTATTAGTTTGCATACCAGGAACATATATTTTTACCTGTTCTCCTTAAAATTGATTTTCAAAATCAATACAATTTTCCAGCTGGATCATGGAAAAACGTACAGAAGCATAGTAGAAGACACATTGCGCTACTCCATCTTCCAATACAATGTGCGCAAAATCAAGGAACACAATGAACAATATGAGATGGGAACAGTAAGTTATGCTCTGAAAGTAACCCAATTCGCAGACATGACGAAACAAGAATTCGTGGATCTTCTGAAGACTCGGAGAAGAAGTTTTAATAATACGAAACAAGGCGAAGTTTTTGACCCCACTGGCATTGAAGCAGCCAGCTCTATCGATTGGAGAAAAAAGGGAGCAGTTACTGAAGTTAAAAATCAAATGATGTGCGGTTCCTGCTGGGCATTTAGTGCTGTAAGTATAATAATTCATATATGAGGATTGACAAAATTCATTTGAAAGAATCGAATAAATTAAATATATATAAATAAATAAACGGCGTGAGAAAATGTCAACATTTCCAACGGTCTTTGAGCTACGTATAAATATTATTGAGAACTATATTATTAAAAACGAGAGAACTAAACACTTATTTTCAATTTAATAACCAATACATATTTAACAAAACAACAGTAATAAAAACGCAACCGACAGGGTCGGTGAATGATACAGGCTCACACAGCAATAACAGCGCAACAGTACCCCTTTGTGACTGGCAGCGGATCGCTAGAATTTTTCGTTTCTGTCAATATAAAACGCGAAGCAACGACTTATAGAATTGTGTTTATATGTTTTTGCGTTTTGATAATAAATACAGTACAATCGCGTTAATATGAATACAAAAAATCCTGAGGCGTTCATATTACGGAGATTGTTCATACTAGTGAAGGTTAAAAAAATGGGTACGTTATATGAATTTTTATGTTTTCTACATGTACAATAAAACGCATAACAATTTTGGAACTCAAATCATTTATTAGTAATCGGTTTAATTTAAATTTAGCTAATCTTTAATAGAAAAATAGGAAGTTAATGTAGACTGCGTTTTTTGAACAGAAAGATTTGCTAAAACAGCTCTTTCGTGGATGTTTTTTAGTCTTATAATATCACTGGTGCCCACAGTGTTTTGCTTAGCCCACTCTATTGCAATTGTTAGAGCTTGAGCTTCCTCCTGGTGTGAAACTCAAGGCGGCAGAAAGTGACCAAGATTTATATCCTCTTCATCACTTTCTTCAGATTCACTTTCACTTTCTCTGTCATTGCTTCTTGGTTCCAGTCTTCCACATTTGCAGCTACGTAGTCAGCCTAGTTTTAAAAATAAACTGCAATATGTACCTAGACAAAACTTTAGTGTTGATCTTAAAAATAATGCCCAAGAAAAATCAAGACTAGTCTTGGAAGAACAGAAGGGGACTTACTTTTAATGAAAATGCGCATTTGGGTTTGATTTTAAAACTAAAGATAGTCATGTGGCTTCATAACGTTCTTGTGTGAAAACAAAAAAACTTTGCATAATAACATCAAGCTTTTGCATAATAACATCAAACCTTACCGGTTCTATAGCTTGAAGGAGCATGATTGTTTCTTCTACGACAGTGGCGGTATCTGTCTTCTCCTTGAGTTTTTGCCCTAAAACTGATAAAGGCAAGTTGTCATCACCATCCTCTTGCTCTAGATTGGCATCTATCAATATATTTTGCCAGCATTTTGTAATAACCTGGGCACTTAACTTCTCCCATGCAGCTGCCAAATGCAATCTTTTAATGTAACTTTTTTAAGGGCTGTGCCTACCGAATCCTCCCCAATGACAATCGAACTAAGAAGACTATTCCTGTAGTCAAGTTTGGTAAGCCGTAATATATTTTGGTCCATAGGTTGACTTAAGGGCGTCACGTTTGGTGGCATGAAGATTACGAAAATCATTCCATCTTTAGTTTTTAATTCTTCAGTAGGTGGATGAGAAGGTGTATTGTCCAAAAGTAGGATTGCTTTTTTTGGTAGATTTTGAGCCCTCAAAAAACATTTGATCTAAAATTAGCATACCGCAATAAGAAAAATATGCAGGGAAAAATCAGTGTTAACTTATCTCAGGGACAAATTGTTGGAAAAATCAATTTTTAAAAATTTCGGCTGTCATCCATGCATTTTTAGTGTTTCTATATACCAGTGGAATATAGAAATTTTGGAAACATCTAGGATTCTTTGATTTCCTGATGACTAATGGTTTGACTTTATGAGAACCTGAAGCATTAGCACAGGGGTCAACGAGTTCTGGCTGACTTGAAAGTTTTTTTTCACTTATTTTTAGAAATCTAACGTAACGTTCTTTGAATCGTTGAAGCCATCCATCGCTTGCTTTGAAATTAGAAATGTTCATTCCCGCGGATAAACTTAATGCTTTTTGTTTAATCATTTCTCCAGATACTGGCATGTTCGTTTGGCGTTGAGCAAGGAACCACCTATAAAGTTTCATTTCCAATTCTGGAAGTTCGGCTTTTCGCAGTGTACATTTTTGGATATGCTTTATTTTATTGGCTACTCTTTCTACAATTTTTGCTTTTTTATCTCTAATTGAACAAATTGTAAACTTCGCCATACCATATTTTTCGATAATATGCATTCATTTCTTTGCTAAGGTCCTACAAAGCTTTTCCCTTTTCATAAAGGGGAAGACTTTGATTTTCCTTCTACTTTAACCATTCTAAAAATATTTTTACCACTTAAACCACACACTAAAAACAGTAAAACAACCACCCACCAATAACATCCGTCAAACAAAATTTTACACACTACTCAAAATTCCGAATACTAATGGCCCGAAGTTATGTTAGTGCCGCCCTTGACAAGTTTTAACGAGTTGTTCATATTATCGAGATTGCAAACGTTCATATCACAGAGTAGTCCATACAAAAAAATATTGTGTTCATATTTCTGAGTCAATCATAATAGCGCGTGTTCAAATTAACGCGATTGTACTGTAATCCAATTGATCAGGATCCTCTGAAACGTAAAAAAACAAAGTCTGACCTACTTTTTTTCGTTTTTGGCACTTTTCTGCCGCCACTGGACCGATTTGCAAAAACTAAGAAGCTTTTTCGTCCTTGCCAGAGTAGTATCATTAAAATCCGAGCGCTACTTCTCAAGTTATAGGCGGTTCAATGATTAGCGGACAGACAGAGCGACGGAAATGAGTGACACGGTTTTCCACGAAGTACATACCTGTCATATAACATCAAAAAAACATAATATCTCATTTTCGAACATTTTCGCGATTACAATATTTCCCCGTCAGTAGATGAGGGAAGTAAAAGCCAAAACTCGTATTTTTTTAATGGAATATCCATTATTTGAAGCGTACACAGAAGCGCACTTTCGAAATAGGATGATTGATGTATATATATATATATACCTATAATTTTCAAAACACATACATAAAATGTTTTTAAATATTTGTCTGATAGCTGTTATGACTTTGCCTATCACCCGGTTTCGGCTTGACGTCGACTTCTGGGACACCCTGTATACATATACATATATATATATATATATAGTGCATATAATGGACTCGGCGGGACTGTGGCATTTAGTGTATTATAGGCGGATGACCATCTTAAAAGAAACACTTTTTTTTAATGACAAAGCAGTAGAAATAATATATTAGAAGCTTAAAATGTGTTTGTTTAACATGTATTACATAAATGAAGATACATACAAAAAAGTTATACGTAATTTTGAAATTTCCATTTTTTCAGAATCTGATACACATATTACAGACATACGTACTGTGTAGGTATGTGTAAAAACTCTGTAAATTATTTGGTAAAAAAGCTAGTAGTTTTCATTTGAACAGACTGTTTTTTTGTACAATTATTTAGAACAGCAAGTTGAATTTTATTTAATTTAGTAAGTGTGGCTGTACTGTCTTCTTCTTGCTGAAAATAACGTTGCAACTTTTTCTCGCAGTCTAATGCCTCCTTATTTGTCACTGGAAGCTCTTCTTCATCGCTGTTTTCTAGTTCGTCTTCCTGTTCGTTATCAACGGATCCTTCATTAACCGAATTGGAGTCTGACAATTCCTGTGTTGCTATTAAATTATTGTCAACATTTACATACTCATCAAATTTGTCTATATTCAGTAAACTATTAATTTTCAGTAAATCACTTAATGAAATTTCATCTTCTGGATTAAAATCGTTGACTATTTCAGTTATGTTTTTCACTAAACCAGCATGGCGAAAACAATTACGAATCGTTTCTGGAGTAACCAATTCCCATGCAATAGTAAGCAAATTTATAGCATCTAAAATGGTGACAGCTTTGGTAATGTTGACATCTTCTTGAAGCTCCATAATTTTCATCAACATGTTTCCGATACTTTTGTTTAAGACTCCAAATGACACCCTGGTCCATTGGTTGCAGAACTGATGTCACATTGGGTGGAAAAAATTGAAGGTTGATGTTATTAAGTGATATATTTGAATGAGCGGGGCAGTTATCGACCAATAGCAAAATTTTACGATTTTTCTTAACAAGTTCAGCGTCCCCCTTTTTAAATTTTCTTCAAAAATTGATGAAGTCATCCAAGCTTTACTATTTCCAACATAACAGACGGGAATGGTTTTAACATTTTTAAAACACCTAGGGTTCTTAAATTTCCCTGAAATAAAAAAAAGGTCTAAACTCTTTACAGCACTACCATTGAATATCAAAAAAATTAGAACATGAATTTCTAGTCATTCACTTACCTATTATCAATAGTTTCCGTTTTTCAGTACCAGAAGCATTAGCACAAATCATAACTGTTATTCGCTCTTTTGATAGTTTCCCTCCATTGCAAGTTTCAGCTTTTAATTTACGAGTTTTATCTGGTAGCATTCTATAAAATATCCTCGTTTCATCTGCATTGAATATGTTATCATCTGAATAATCACTGGATATTACGGGCCAAACTTGAAAAATCCAGTCATTGGTAACGTTCTTGTCATCTGAAGCTGACTCACCACACATTTATCCAAAAACCATGTTATGTCTTTAATTAAAACTGTCTAGCCAACCGGAACCACATTTGAAGTAATCTCCAATCAATTTCCCAAATTCTTCAGCCTTTATTTGTAGCATAGGACCACTTATTGGAAAATTATCAGCACACTTTTGTTGAAACCATTTAAACAGTATATCATCGACTTGGAGATGCAGCGATAGCCGCATTTTTTCCTTTTGACTATTTGACTTCCAGTAATTTTTAATTTTGTCATGGTTTGACACAGTGGATTTTTTTATAGCTATACGAGCACATATATTTGCTTGACATGTTTATAACTCGAATAACACTGGTGGCCAAGTTCGAATGCAAACTGCGAAGCCAAACCGCCGTAAACGATTGCATCAGCTAAATCTGCTTAGGAGAACTACCA